CGAAATCTACTCCCTTCCCCGACCCTCCGCTCTCCCCATTTTGGGGGTAAATATATCTTTGCGTGGTGTTGGTGGGATTTTATTTTTTTTTTTTAACCTTTTTGGGTGCATTTTTTGGCGTTTGGGGGAAAAAAAGGGGGGGGGGGGGGTAAGGCCCTCCCGGCCCCTCCACATGCTACGGCCCTGTAAGCACAAAGAGAAGATAAAAGGCTAAGGTCAGATAATGGTGTATCTGTTGTTGGTCCAGACATATTTCTTTCAAAATCTTGATTCGTTTTGGGGGGTCATTTTTAGGTAAGGGAGCGTCACATGGGGGGGAGGGGTTTTTTTTAATAATTTCATGGAAGTATATTTGTGCAGAGTATAACGACCGTGCATTGAAATTGAACGCAACAACCGTAAATTGTTAACACCGATCTCATACACACGACTGTAGATAAAGTACGCAGTGAACGTCAGCACGATTTATAGCCAGAATATGCGGGGCTGGGGGGGGAGCATTTATTGAGGGCAAGAGAGAATGAGGTGGAATCATTTCTAAAAAGCTAGGATGAATTTGGGGGGGGGGAAGGTTTGAATATATTCTCAGCTTTCTCAAAATGGCTACCACCCCACCCCCCTTCACAGCTAATGAACGACCAGCCCTCGGATAGATAGATTACTGAACTTATTTATTTCCATCGGTATGTATAAATACTGATGAACTGCCCATCTTCCAAACTGCAAACAAAAGTAGGTACAAAATATAAAAAATAAAAACTGCATTTCATGCAGGCTGTGTTCAATTGATCATACTTGAGACTTAGTACCCTCGTCACTTACTCACGGAAAGGATATATTTTAAAACAGCAAAATCGACCCACAAAAACACATCGTCTTTAAAATTTGGCTGAAGGGTAGTCTGTGAAGGTACAAGAAAGGACATACATTCATTTTCGTTACTTCTACATTCAGGATTGACGGCAGAGCCTACCGGATTTTCAGCTTGTTGTAAAATCAAACGTGAAATCGTGAATGAGACCAAGATACTGAACATAGCCGCGTAGGAGTATTGTCAACATCCTTTCGCGCCATTTGTGGATAAAGAACATTACCTTAAACCCTGTTTACATAGCGTGGGGGACCCCGGTTTAATGGGGTAAGTTTCTTTTGTTTTGTGTCCCCCAGCAGGGGCGGATCTAGGGGGAGGGTGCAGGGGGTGCGCACCCCCCCCCCCCCCCCCCCCCCCCCCCC